CCGATAAAAATATCCTTCAAAAATGAAAGCAAAATAAAATTTCATACAAATAAAGATGAAAGAATTTGTGCCACATTGACCTGCACTACAAACAAATCTAAATATTCTTTAGGGTAAAGGAAAATAACACATAGAATCTCAGTTCTACAGGATGCAAGAGAGAAATCAAAAAGGGTAAATAGGATTTCTCTTTCTGCTACTTCATTATTGATGTACAGAAATGCAAAAGACTTCTGTGCATTGATTTTTATATCCTACGACTTTGCTGAATTCCTGTATCAATTCTAGCAATTTTCTGGTGGAGTCTTTCAGCTTTTCTATATAGATGTCATCTACAAAGAATGAAAATTTGACTTCTTCCTTGCTGATTTGGGTATCTTTTATTTCCTTTTGTTGTCTGATTGCTGAGGCTAGGACTTTCAGTACTGTTATTAACAACAGTGGTGAGAGTGAACATTTCAGTCTTGTTCCTGACCTTAGGGGAAAAGCTCTCAGTTTTTCCCCATTGAGGATGATATTAGCTGTGGGTCTTTCATATATGGCCTTTATGATGTTGAGTTATGTTCTTTCTATCCCTACTTTCTTGAGGACTTTTTAAAAAGATTTTATTTATTTATTTGAGAAAGAGTGACAGAGATATGAGAAAGAGCACGAGCAGGGGTGAGGAGGAGAGGGAGAAACAGGCTCCCCACCTAGCAGGGAGTGGGATGTGGGGCTCAGGACCCTGGGATCATGACCTTAAGCCCAAGTCAGACATTTAACCGACTGAGCCACCCAGGTGCCCCCTCCCCCTTTTTAAAGATTTTATTTATTTGAGAGAGACAGATACCGATAGAGAACACGAGCAGGGAGAAGAGGGAGAAGCATTTTCTTGAGGATTTTTTATCAAGAAAGGATGGTATTTTGTCAAATGTTTTTCTTCATCTATTGAGAGGATCATATGATTCTTATCCTTTCTTTTATTAATGTGGTGTTTCACACTGATTGATTTGTGGATATTGAAACACCCCTGCAGCCCAGGAATAAATCCTACTTAGTCAGGTTGAAAAGATGTGCTATATATACACAACAGAATATTACTCAGCCATCAAAAAGAATGAAATCTTGCCATCTGCAGTGACGTGGATGGAAACTAGAGTATATTATGCTAAGTGAAATAAGTCAGTCAGAGAAAGACAAATACCATATGATTTCACTCCTATGTGGAATTTAAGAAACAAAACAGATGAGCATAGGGGAAGGAAAGGAAAAATAAAATAAGATAAAAACAGAGAGGGAGGCAAACCATAAGAGACTCTTAAATATAGGGAAAAAACTGAGGGCTGCTGGAGGGGAGATGGGTGGAGGGATGGGGTGATTGGGTGATGGGCATTAAGGAGGGCACTTGATGTAATAATGAGCACTGGGTATTATAAGCAACTGATGAATCATGAAATTCTATCCCTGAAACTAATACTACACTATATGTGAACTAACTTGAATTTAAATAAAATCTTGAAAAAACAAAAAGGGTATATATGTTGATAAATACACAGGAATTTTTAAACATTTTAAACATTACATATACACATGCATCTTTAAATTTCACTAAAAGATTGATTTTTTAAATTAAAAGTAATAAAAATATAGAGCACATGTAGAAGTAAAATATATAGACTATATAATAAGCAGATATATAGAAGTAAAATAAGAGCACAAAAGGTGAGAAGATGGTATTGCAAGTATAAAGGGTAATATTCTTACGCTGTTCATGAAGTACTAGAATATGTTTGAAAATCAGCCATGATAAAATTCAAGACACATATGTAATCAATCTCTAATACCACCAATAAAAAAATAACACGAAGGGACAAAACTAAAAAGATAGGTGAAAAAATGTTTTTCTAAAAAATCAATTCACCCAAAAAGAAGGCAGGGCAAGAGGACCAAAGAGTAAATGAAAAAATGGAAAAAGGACACCAATATGCTTAATCCAAACACAGAAAAAAGTTATAAAACTATAAATGGACTATATACCACTATTAAAACACAGAGATTGTTGTGAGACTGGATAAACAACTTCAGCCCAATGTATGTAGTCTATAAGAAACACATTTTAAACATAAACACACAGATGAGTTAAAAGGAAAAAGCAAGGGGCAAACATCAAGCTTATATTAATGTCAGAACAGGCTTCCATGTAAAAAGTATTTTCAGGGATAGAATGGGCATCTCATAATGATAAAAGGGTCAATTTGGCAAAAAAGACAAAGGTATCTTAAAAGTGTATCTGATTAATAACACTACCAAATAGAAGGAAAAAACCTGACAGAGCTGAAAGGAGAAATAGACAAATCTACAATAATAGAGACTTGAGACTTAGCACTCCTCCCAGAGTAACTGACAGAATAAGGAGACATTAAAAATGTGAAGATAAAAGGCTTGAGCAACACTCTCAACCAGCTTCCCTAACTGACATTTAGACTACTCTACCCACCACCAGTAGAATACACATTTTTCCCAGTGGGTAAATGGAACATTGACCAAGAAAGACCATAGGTTAGGCAAGAAAAAAAAAAAAAAAAAAAAAAAACCAACTCAATAAATTTAAAGGTATTGAAATAATACATATTTTCTGACCACAACATCGCTAATTTAGGAATCAACAGCAATGATCTACCTAAAAAATTCTAAAATATTTGGAAATAAAATAACACACCTAAATAAATAATGGATCAAAGAAATCACAAAGATTTTAAAATATCTTTAAATGATAATGAAAACATTCCAAATTTGTGGGATCTAGCTAAGCATGCTTAGAGGAAAACTTACAGCTTTAAATGCTTATATAAAAGGAAAAGAAGATAGAAAATCAATTATTTATGTTTCCAACTTAACAAGTTAGAAAAAGAGGAGCAAATTAAACCCAAATTAAAAGAAACAAAATTAGAGTAGAAATCTGAAACAGAAAACAGACATATAGAGAAAATCAACAAAGTCAAAAATTTTAAATATAGTACGTAGCACACATGAAATCACAAAGTCAGACAGTGTAAACAAAACAATTTCTATCATGTTTTATATCTGATAAATTTTGATATTTGGTACTAGTTCAGTCACTGGTATAAATTTTATTAATTGCTTCATGATAAATATTTCTAATAAAAATGTGGTTTCCTAGTTTTTCCACCAGCCTCATGTTGGCACCAGTCTCATGTTTGCAGCTTTCCCACTTTGGACTGGCTGAGCTCTGAACACTCATTTAACTCTGAAATTATAATGATTTGTCTGGCAATTATAATCACTTATAATTAGAGCAATGTCTTGCACGTAGTTATTTCAATGGCTAGATGCACAATCATTCTGCACTATTAAATACAGAAATTTCAAAGAATATTGGTAATGCTGGGCACAGATAAATATAAAACGATTAAAATTTTTCATCATATAAAAAGTATATACATACCATTAGTTGTTTATTTGGCCAATACATGTGTAATTAACTCCTACTAAAGGATGAGGCACCTGTGGCTACTCCATAAATATTGATGTTAAGATGATGAAAGTAATATCGCCTTACAGTAAGTTGCCTAAGTCTAAACCAAATAAATCAATACATAAATGCTTAGAGAAAATCCAAAACCATGGATAAACGTGATCTTCCCAATAAGCTATTTTACAGTGACCCATAGTTTATAAGAGGGTTTGGGCTCTGCGCATTAACAACATCTATTACATGAAAAATAATCCCACCCCCTCTACTGGCAAACCCACAGTATCGCGGGTTGGTTGCCAGGTCGGATTTTTTTCCCTCTCCATCTTTCTCAGAGCATCAGGTATCTGACCATTGACATCATCTGGGCACCCGACCAGGTGATCCGCGTTTCCACGAGCCGGATCGGTGCACGGGGCTGGGTTCATGGCCTCAGGCCGCAGGATTTGTGCGCGGAAGCCCTCGGGAGCTCGGCCATTCCGCAGCTCGCCTCAAACCGCACATTTACTTATGTTTTGTTTTTAGCAAACGCTTGCCACTTCGTTTCTAAAGAAGGCATTTCCATTACTAAATAATGACATAAAAATAAGCACAACAGAAAAAAGGAGGTCAGCAGGGAAAGCACCTAAGGGCTGGGAACATCTGCTTCTAATGGAAGCGAGCTCCACCTTCGAAAGAAATCACCCAAACAAGCCTCAGGCTACTGCGCACGTTCGCTAGCGGGGCCGGCGTGAAGGGAAGCTCCTTTGGTTAGGAGAGGACCCAGCCTCCCTAAAAACCACTCCTGGCCCGTTCTGCCCCGGGGAGCTCCGACCCGGACCTCGTCCGGCGGGAGGCCGCAGGGAGCGGCCAGGCCCTGAGAGACCGCGTGCGCGCGTGGCGTGCGCCTCCCGCCGCGCCTCCACCTCAGGGCGTCGCCACGGGAACCAAGGGTTTGGCCTCCGGCCGGGAGGCCGGGGCAGGGCGCGGCCCGACCGCCGCCCGGAGGGAGGGGGGCCGCGGGAGGCCGCAGACTCTCACCGCGACGCTGAAGCCGCGACGCACCGGTCCTCCGCCACCTCGGGTCGCGCCTGGCTGCGCGGAGGTCCGTCCCGGCACCCGTTCCTGCCGCCGCCGCCGCCCGCGAGCCCCGAGACGCCGCCGGGCCCCTCCCGCAGCCCGTGCCCCTCCGCACCCGTGCGTGGAGGTGTTGGGCTCCGGCTGCGGGAGGCGGGAGATTTAAGCCCGGCGGCCTGGCGCGCGCGGAAGCCGCGCTGCCCTCGGCGTCTCGGTCTGGCGTCCGCGTTCTCGCCCTTTCGGGCTCTAGCCTAACCCCACCGAGGCCCGGCGCTCGGTCCGTTTTCTGATGAACTCCGGGGCCCATTCTGTTCTTCCTTTACCAAATGCCAGGTTATTAAACACGAAAACGGTCAGCACATCAGAATTAAGGAACTGTGTGTGAGACCCCTGAGGCATTCTCGGGTTCCTTTTCTAAGCCCAGCGCCCTCGGGCCGGGTCCCTCCCTGCCTCCTCCGAGCCCGCACCGCACCTGCCAGGCCTTCCGGTGTCACCTCTACCAGGCTAGGAGCTTCTGAGCCTCAGTCATTCCTGAATCCTGGGGCGCGTCTCAGGACCAGTGCCCGCACGCGGTAACTGTACACGTGCTATATTTAACTCTTACCGTAAGGGTTTAAAGAGGATTAGGTTAACAACTGTTAATAACTGACCTCAAATGCACATATACATAACCATAATTTGTGTTCATAAATGAGTCTTCAAGAGTAAAAGGCAAAATTTGAGCCTAAAAACTAAAGAAAAAAATGGAAATAAGACAACAGTAAATTGTTCCTGGTGGAAGATAATTTAAATTCAAAGAACTTTCTTTTTAAAGGTGATTCAAAATATCCTATCACTTTACTAAAGCTTTACAGAATATTAATTACAACTGTGACACAGCCTAGTAAGGAAAAAAGCTTACACTCCAGGTAATAACTAAGTCTGTAAGATCGTGAAAGATGGAGTGAGATTCTAGAATATGATTACAAAGTACTTAACTTAAAAACCTGAAAGTAGTCTTAGAATAGAAAAAGGAATAGGCTATTTATACTAGAGTTAATATGGACTGAAAATAGTGAGAGGTCTTTAGGCCGGGGATTCTTACCCTGAAATATATGGTGTTTCAAAGAAAGGGTGAATACCTAAAATAATATGCAAAATTTTGGCATGGGTCTTCTAAAAATATTTTCTGGAAATGTAACCAAACCCAAGTTCCACTGTCCAAAGCACAGCAAAGCCAATCACTGAGACATCATGTATGAAAGAGAAGGGTTTATTCTAGAGGCAGCCAAAGAAAGATAATAGGGCAAGCTTCAAATCTGCCACTTAGAAGGGGGAGAGAAGTTTTTTTATAACCACAGGGGTTGGGATTACATATATATTGATGAAAAGGATGGTGAAAACTTGTGGTTATTCATGAGGAAAGATGGAGCATGTTTATTGAGCAAACGTAACATACATCCCATACTCACTTGTGTGGAGACTTAAAATGAGGCAAAATTCAGCCCCTGCTGTCAGGCATCTTAGGACAAGGAAAGGGACTATGGGTTTTCTCCAAGAGAGCCCAGATAAACGGAAGGGGGTTTTGGGCTCATTATCTAGGGTAAGGAAGACAGGGCCTTGATGTTCATAGGCTGGAACCTTATCACTGACTTCTAGCCCAGGTCTCCCTAGTGGATTTGTAAACACACAATAGCTGATTAGGGTCTCTGAAAAATAAGCTTTAGATTTCTTAATTTCAACCTCAATCCTATAGGAGACAACCTCAAAGAGTCCACAGCTTTCCTCAGATTCAAGTCCAGATCCTTAGAAGGGTAAGAATTAGCATTTGGCAATAAGGATGACTTCTGTACTTCCTCAGATCTTTCCTCACTCATGATAGGTTTGGCATCCCTCCTAAGGACATACTTCTACTCAACAAATGTAATTATTTTTCTGCCTGCCTTCCTCACTGGATGCTGAGCTCCTCCAAAGTAAACATTTATTCATTTCAGTAGCTTTATCTCTTGAACACAGTGCCTAATACATATTGCATTCTGAATGAGTTTATTCTATCAATAAGTGAACAGAAGCAAAGACAGCTCATTGACAACTGAAGGATACTGTATAAAATATCTAAAAAGAACTGAACACCTTTCTTCCCAAAGAATAAATGATTCTAATATAGTAAGAAAATGACTTTCAGAATGTTACCATGCACACGTTAAGTTTCTTGGGGTATTTTAGAAAATGCTTCTTCCAACAGGATGAAGTTTTGTTTTTTTTTTCAAAGATTTTATTTGTCCATTTGACAGAACACAAGCAGGGTGAGCTGCAGAGGGAGAGAGAGAGAAGCAGGCTCCCTAGTGAGCAGGGAGCCCGATGAGGGGCTCCATGTGGGGCTTGATCCCAGGACCATGGGATCACGACGCAAGCCAAAGGCAGAGGCCCAATCGACTGAGCCACCCAGATGCCCCCCAACAGGATGAAGTTTAACTCAAGAGGATATTAAACATCAGCTCAATCTGAAGCAGAGAAAGGTCCTCCAAGAAATATACCAGAAAGTCGGAGTGACTGTGCGCAAGGCCTGTTGGTTTTGTTTACTTAACTGGGGAAAATTACTGGAGATACACAATGTCTTCAAGCCACCATATAATGTAGCATTTATACATAACCACATTTCCTTCACAGGTGACTAACAAAGGTGGGCAAATGGTGGCAAGGTATAAAAATTGTTTCAGCAAACAAGGTCGAGCTACTGACACTCCTGGGCAGGAATCAGGTTTTCTTAATCAGGTATTTGATATATGTTTGTAGAATGAATCAATGACCTTGTTAGCTGTTGGATTGATAAGAAAATACCTCAATGCCTGTACTAGTCCCTTAACAGATAAATGAGGCACCCAGAGTAGTTAAAATGTCGTGTTTCATAAATAAGCTTTTTTTAGGAAACAAGAATTTAACACTATTAAAATGCTTTTATATGGGAGGATATAATTTCATCTAGAAGTGCAAATATTTATAGAAGTGTTATTTAATTTTCTATCAACAGGTTTATCCTAATATAAAGTGTTTTCCTCCACTGTAGGCTTCTACAAGTGAACTAGAAAAGACAATTAGATGACTTGGAATGTGGGGCTCCACAAATCTGAGACCCAAAGCAATAAACAGCAATGATCTTTTGTACTATCAAGCAAACCTCTTGTTAATCTAAATAAAACTTCAATTGATATTAAAAAACATACTAAGAATTCTACACTTTTTGTTATTTTACTTTTTTTTTTTTTTTAAGATTTTATTTATTTATTTCACAGAGAGAGACAGCGAGAGCAGGAACACAAGCAGGGGGAGCGGGAGAGGGAGAAGCAGGCTTCCCACCGAGCAGGGAGCCCGATGTGGAACTCGATCCCAGGACACTGGGATCATGACCTGAGCCGAAGGCAGACGCTTAACGACTGAGCCACCCAGGCACCCCTTGTGTTAGTTTACTCTTATTAAAGATTAGGGATCTACTGAACCTGATGTCATGGAAATAGCTCCATTTCTTCAAGGTGTTCCACTTTCCTTGTAATCTCTTTGATCTTATCAAGAAAGTCAGAAGTAACAGGTCAGTGGCAGTTAGTAAGGATATGGAGAGCTATCTTCCCAGATGCCTACACTAGTACTTACATATGGCAAGCCAAACATGCTCTCTACCATACTGCATTTTTGTTGATTCTAGTAAGGCTAGAATTAGAGACAGTATTATTAGGATGATTCTTTTAAAATGAAATGTTATAGACCTATAAAAAAAAAATTTCCTCCCCCTGAAACCACTGAACTGAATTTGGTATTAATAATTCCCCAGCATTTGTCTGTACTTCTACTATCCATACAGATTATTTGACAGATTGTACCTAACAAGATCATTTCTCTGTATCTCTAATTACTGACGAATGTATCCTATCTCTATCATTAATTGGCTGTACACCTTCACACAAGGTATTTAAGCTGTCTGGGTTGTGGTTTCCTTTAATAACATGAATAATGTGATAATTCAAATGATATGAATGAGTAACAGGATAATTTCTAAAGTTACCTTTTGCTCATATACAATTCCTATATGAAAAGAAATGGGTCTTTAAAAAAGAAGACTATATATTATTATGCTAATACACTTAGTAATATACTAAAATTGAAATTAATTTTAAGGCAAAAACATGCAAAGCTGAACATAACATTATGGTCATTTGTTAACAATGAATGCCACTTAAATTTATATACAACCTTTCTTTTATGTAGGTAAAGACATCTTCAAACTTACTCTTCACATTTATAAAAATATCATTCTTATGAATGACTTAAGAATTGGCAGAATATATATGTAGTAAAGAGCTGGAGCTCTAGACTCAGATACATTCAAATTCAAATCCTGACCCTGCTATTTACTGGCTACATGAAATCTAGTCAAATAACTTGACTCTTCTAACACATATATTCCTCCTTTAAAATAAAGGTCATTAGGCATCTGCCTTGGGCTCAGGGTCACGATCCCAGGGTCTTGGGATTGAGCCCCACATCAGGCTCTCTGCTCCGCGGGAAGCCTGCTTCTCCCTCTCCCACTCTCCCTGCTTGTGTTCCCTCTCTCACTGTGTCTCTGTCAAATAAATAAATAAAATCTTTAAAAAATAAGTAAATAATAAAATAAAGATCACTTAGTCATTTTAATGTCAGGATTGCTATGGCAGCATACAGGTGGATTTGGGTGGATTTTTTTTTTCTTTTTTGCCATTTTAGTAAACACTGCCAGAAAATAATTTACTTTAGGGAGCCTGGGTTGCTCAGTCGTTGGGCGTCTGCCTTCGGCTCAGGTCATGATCCCAGGGTCCTGGGATCGAGCCCCGTGTCGGGCTCCCTGCTCCGCAGGAAGCCTGCTTCTCCCTCTCCCCCTGCTTGTTCCCTCTCTCGCTGTATTTCTGTCAAATAAATAAATAAAATCTTAAAAAAAAATAATCTACTTCTTCAGATCTGTGAATATCAGTGGATATTGTAACAAAGATAGCCTATCTAACCCTATGAACTCCCCCCAAAATTCAAAGTTACATTAAAGACATTATCTAGTTTAAAATCAGAACCACAAGAAACTGGGACTCCTGGGTGGCTCAGTTGGTTAAGTGTCTACCTTCGGCTCAGGTTGTATCACGGACCTACATCGACCTGCTCAGTGGGGAGCCTGCTTCACCCTCTGCCTGCCACTCTCCCTGCTTGTGCTCTCTCTCTCTGACAAATAAATAAAATCTTAAAAAAACCCACAAGAAACAGCAAGTGTTGGCGAGGATGCGGAGATAAAGGAACCCTCTTGCACTGTTGGTGGGAATGCAAACTTGTGCAGTCACTGTGGAAAATGGTATGGAGGTCCCTCAAAAAGTTAAAAATAGAACTACCCTAAAATTCAGTAATTGCACTACTGGCATTTACCCCTAAAATACAAAAACCCTAATTCAAAGGGATACATGCAACCCCTATGTTTGTTGCAGCATTATTTACAATATCCAAACTATGGAAACAGCCCAAGTGTCCATCAATAGATGAATGGATAAAGAAGATATGGTGTATATATATATATATATACACAATGGAATATTATTCGGCCATAAAAAATGAAATTTTGCCATTTGCAATGACATGGATGGAACTAGAGAATAATGCTTAGTGAAGTAAGTCAGAGAAAGACAAACACCATATGATTTCACTCATGTGGAATTTAAGAAACAAAACAAAGCAAAAAGACAAACCAAGAAACAGCCTCTTAACTAGACAGAACAAACTGATGGTTACCAGAGGGGAGGTGGATGGGGGGAATGAGTGAAATAGGTGATGGGGATTAAGGGGTGCACTTGCTGTGATGAGCACTGGGTGATGTATGGAATTGCTGAATCACTATATTGTATAACTGAAACTAATATCACACATTATGTTAACTCTATCAGCATTAAAATGAAAATCTTAAAAAAAAGAAAAGAGGTAAATTTAGCTTATATAACAAAATACTAATTAACATAGTGGTTTTTTTTTTTTTACAGCTCACACCCCCATCCTCTACCTCTTATTAGTATGTTTGATACTAGAAGTCTATGATAGTCTAAAACTCTCAATATTAAAGTAAATAAAAATTCCTTTTATTAGCAAAATTTGGATTTCACTTGCCTTTTGAAACCCGATTCCAATTAGTGACTTTTTAAATAGAAGCAATAATTGAATATTGCTTACATATGCAGAGTCTCAAATGTCATTTTTTTCCTTTTAGAAGTTACAGTAGTATAAAGATTATTTCTCCTTATATTTGCTTTATATAAGCAAATGACTTTCCAAGATAGAATACAGAAGAATTTTTGTGAAAAGATTTCAATGTTATTATCAGAAATTCCCAGATAGTATTTGGTTTGCTGGGTTGTTTGTTCAATTATGCAATTATGTGCATTTTATATCAATTTAAACTTTCATTTGTTCTTTTCCCCAATAATGCTAGGAAGCATTTTGATATATTATTATGCATCAATGACAGAAGTCCCAAAATGGCCAATCGAAATTCAAAGGACAAAGCAAATACCAGTCATCTATTCATAGAAAATCTATTATGTTTTTCTGCATTCTATGCAGAATTAAAAATCTTACGTAACTCAAGTTTCTACCTAATAATCTCTAGGTAATTGTCACAGCCAGGTTTTGTTTTCATGGTTTCCAATATAAAAAGATCATCATGTCTTAGATAAGACCCGGAGGCAGCTTTATCTAAGAGGAAAACAAAACTGAGCTACTTAGCGTATGAAGAAATATGCTTTCTTCCTTCCTCATGGTATTTCTGAACTATCATTTCTGCCAGAGGTAACAGCTCCACCTTTCCCAACCTGTATCTGTCCAGATCTGGCTAAAGTATCACTCTACTACAATGCTTTTCTTGACATCCAACTTGCTTCCCACAAAGCTAATTGGTTCCTTCTCTATGCCACCTTTCTACCTTACATTTACATCTTTTATGCATTTAAGTCACTGTTATAACTAATTCTTAAATGAGTGTTTCTATGCAAGCTTATCTTTTTGGAGGTAGTGTCCATGTCATACATTTTTCTGCGTTTTTTCCCCTTTCCCTCCATCTCCAAAGAGACGCTGGTACATGGTAGAAGTTCAGCCTTTGTTCTTGAACTAACAATTAGGTATACTTTGAGTCTAATTTTTAATATTAGCAAGATTATCGTTAAACAGTAAGAAAGGAATTTCTTAAAACTGTGTTCGATGAGGTAAAAGCAAGTATCAACATGGTTAGGAACGTCGTAATTTGTGTCTTCTAGGCTTTGGTTGGCCTCTCATATTTTTCCTGTTTGAGGAGTAATCTAACCACCTGAGTTACACAAGGAGAGAAATTTGGCAGAGATTGATCCCAGAAACTTGATCACTAATGTTACACCCATCCCAAGGGAGAATGCCTGAAGCATGAATGTATCCTCCTTGGAACCAGGGTTGAGAATAAGTGAGGGACCAATACTTGATGCTACTTCCTTCTTTGTCCACTACATCTAATAAATAAGCCTCTTTACCTTTGCTTCAACTACCTAGTGTATGCATACTACAACTGAGCCCAGACTGGGTGAGTTAAGAAAAACATTTAGATAACTCTGACAAAGGCTCATTCAGAGAACATTTAAAACAAGAAATTCTTCTTTGTCCTATAAAAGTTAGACTTCCAGACACTACAGATATGATGAAATTTATACCAGTCTACACTAAATGATAAAAAGAGACTGGTATATTTTCTAGCTAACTTGAAATTCACTTTTTTTTAAAAGATTTTATTTATTGGAAAGAGAGCAAGAGAGGGAGAGAAAGCACCAAGGGAGAGGGAGCAGACTCTGCTGAGCAGAGAGCCAGATGCGAGGCTTTATCCCAGGACCCCTAGATCATGACCTGACACTTAACTGACTGAGCTATCCAGGCACCCCTGGTTTTTTGGCATTAAAATACACTTTCTTTTAAGAAATTATATAATAACTATAGCTCTAGCTCTTTGTGAAGATGAGGACCATATCCTAGGGATTGACGAAGCCTGGGTCCCTAAGAGTGTGGAAAAAAACCACTCTCTCCCAGCCCTGGACTGCCTCAATTTCAACTTGTAAGAGAACTAAACTCCTAACTGGCTTAATCCACTGTTAACTTGGCTCTCAATTGCAGCCAGGTATATATATTACTTCCTAGACCTCTGTGATAGGAACATTTTTTTGACATATACTGCATTACAGTCTAGTGATGAGACTAACCTTATTTTCCATATATTAGAGGCTGAAGTGCTCTGCTTGAGGAATACCAATCCATTAAAGATGGAAGTCACACTTTAAGAAGACATTTACTTTAAATATTTGGTATATAACATACGTAGTAAGATAAATGCTAATGATATAAAATTTATAGAATGTTTACTATCTAATACTGACTGAAAGTTTTTGTCTAAAGATTCTATTCTATACAAGGATAGGTTGGGGAAAAAGATTCCTGGTTACCATGAAATCTGTATGCAATTTCTAAAGGATTCTAACATAGCTTTAATACAAAGTACTTCACTTAAAATATTTCAACAAACTCTTAATTGGCAGCATCTATATGTTTTAATGTTCTGAATACCCACAAAGTCTTATTATAGTTAGACATCACTATTTTACCTAAAGCAAATTGTATTTCTAATTTTTTCTCTATTAGAATTTATTACTTTCCTTAAGATACTTTTTTTAAACAGCTAACATTGGAAAACTTAAGTTTCCCCAACAGAAATAAAAATCTGGACAATTACTATATTTTTAATATATGCTTTTACAGCATTTCAAAAGCAAATCTTAATTCAAACCAATACCTATAAAAGGAAATAAAAAAACTCAGTTTACTTTCAGAGTTTGCATATGGCAGAGAGAGCAGGTCACATTTAAATTTTAACAACATAAACTATTGTATAATAAATATAAAATAAAGAAATAGACAGTGATAGCTATTATCAAGGGTGAAAACATTATATAAACTTAAAGAGGCTGCTTTCTGAACCGTCACTGATGTAATCTGAAGCTTCTTTATCAATTTCATTTACAGAAACAATCTCTGGAGTCAAATTTATCATTCACTTTCATGCCCCCACATGAGAAGTAGTAGGTGAATATCTGTAGGAATACAATTTATTGTCTGCTCCTCCACTCAGAAGTAACTGTGTAAAGGGAGAGGAAAAAAAAAGACATTTAAGTAAACATAATTATAAACATAAATACTGACTGATTACAGAAGAATTATGGATGAGCAGTTAACTCGCATTTAGAGCTAATACTTAAATGGACCAATTACATCAATTTTCACTACCATATTATAATACACTCTATTAATACTTTAAAAGTGATCATTTAAATTTGGTTGAGGCATGATATGCTATTGTACTTTCTATGAAGTATTTGTTAAGAAATATAATAAAATTTAAAAGTCTAAGGGGTGACATAGTTTTACCTATTTAAGAAAATTAAGTTTTATAGGAGAGTATCTTAACTGTTTGCAGGTAAATGGATATTACAAATTATTCAAGTAGCCCTAGGACATGTATTTGGAAAGAATTCTTTAGCAATAACAGCTAATATACACAAAAATAAGTAAATTGTAATTCTTTAAGCACATTTTGTAGTCTAGACTTATTCTGCAAGATTTTTTTAAGGGGGAAATACTTAGAACTAACTGGACTAGTGGAGCAAATTTATGGATTTAAAACATTTCATTAAAATACTTGAAGAAAAAACCACTTCAAAATTTTCAAATTTTACTACTCCTAATTATAAAGAACAAATTTGTTTCTTCTTTGAAAGTAATGTGAGATTTTTATGACTAATATTAAGGGAAACTTAGAATACAGAATTATAATTATCAGCCACATTGAAACCAGTAACTCCCTAAATACACACACCAGATTTATTCTCTATTTTTCCTCTTTACCAAATAACTAATAAATTCTTACCCCTGTGTCTGTCCAGTCTACACTCAGAACTTTATCTTCATGAGCAGCCAGATCATAGAGAGGAGCTTTACAACTAAAAGATCAAAGTATTACCATGTTATATGCATTTCACAATATTAAAACAACATTTATGACTAATCATATTTTTCTGAAAACTTTACAGACTTTTACCATCCTTGCCCCAATAACCAGTTAATCTTAAGATTCTGAGTATTTACTTGACCATCTCTCCTGATATTCCCCTATCATTAGCAGAATACAGAGATTTACTACAACAAATATTCAGGAAAAATGCTATTTATTTATAAATATTTATTCATAATTAGGCCTATTTTCACACTTCCTTGACCCTCAAATCATAGCTTTATATATCCTTTGTCCATCCATGTATACGCTGATAACTCTCAAGTTTATATCTTTAGTCCAAACTTCTTCCCTGATTTTGATATGCATATTCAATTGCCCATCATCTGGATGTCTCATGGCCCTACAAATTTAAAACAACCCAAACAAAACTCTTGATGTTCCCTCATAAATCTGTTTCTCTACTCTTTTCCATCATAGTAAATTGTACCAGTAATGGTGCAATTGCTCAGGCAGAAAATAATGGGCATTATCCTTTGATTTCTATCTCCATATTCTGTCCATGAGCTAATAGAGCTGTCTTCAAAATATACCTAGAATCCAACCTAGAACCTCCCTGCTTCCATTCTTCCTACCCTCTTTAGAGCATGCACAAAGCCTTCCCCATTATACTTAGAATGGAACCCAAATTCCTTACCATGGTCCATAGGATCCTACTCAGTGTAACTACTACCTGCTTCATCTCCAGCCACTCTTTTCCTTGCTTACTCCATTCCATCAACACGGGCCCTCTTGCTATTTTGCCAAGATTTTCGCCACCTTATCTGTTGTTCCCTCTAACCATGATTTGTGCATGGCTAATACCTTCCCATTGTTCAGTTCACTGGGAAATCACTTTCAAAGAAGAGCCCATTCCTAAAGAAGTATCCCTTTTACTCTGCTTTACTTTCTTCACATCACTTACTACTATTAGCAGAAACTATACGCTAATTGCTACATAAAGTATCCAACTAAAATGTAAACAAACTTCTAGATATTAACAAATCATGCATCATAAGGATGTCAGAATACAGATTTAGGTAAACAACAAACAGGTATTTGGTTAATGCTTCTCCATTCTACTTGTAAAAATATTTAAGTAAGTTGTGTATGAAATTCATTGGGGGTACTCTGTATATACTACTATCAAAAAAGAAAACTTTAATATCTAGTTAGCTTTTAAAATACATATTTTATTTATTTTTCTATTAACATATAATTTATTATTTGATTACAGTTCCATTTATTTAGAGACCATTGGCCTTCTATATCATATTTATATTAAGGTTCAAGATAATAAGATAATTTTTTTCAGAATGCAAAAAATAACCTATCAACATGAAGAAAATCCCTTTGACCCTGGCTTTTCTTTCTGACACCAATATTTATCATCTCAGGTCATATAACCAAAAACTTTTCTTTTACCCTTCTGCTTCTGGATAATCTTTTCAGCATTCATTTTATTTTCTCTGTATATGATAAGTAATCGATGTATTTTCTTTGTAGATTATAAATAGGATATACCTTCTTGTATCCCACAGTTTGACGATATTATCTAAAGAACCTGAAATCAGCTGCTGCTCGTGGGTAGGAGACCACTTTAATGATGTGACCCAGCCTGTATGTGAGGTTAGGGACAGCGACACCAAAGAACCATCTGAACAAAATAAAAAAGATAATAATTATTGAATTTTAGAAGAGAAGTAGGCAGAACCCAAAACAATGTTTGTAGAAAATTGTCTTTTTATACACATCTCTAGTGAGAGGAGAAACTGATGTTATTTACACATATTTCTCCTCCAGTGATTTACACAACTCACCTTTAGTTCGGGGATCCCACAGTCTGATATGCCTATCTGTGCTTCCAGATGCTAAACGTTTACAAAGTGGAGAATAGGAGATACAATTAAACACCTTATTTCCTGTCTGAAAAACAAACAGGAAAGAACATTTAACCATGGTGGGCTAGAAATAACCATCTTTAGATGGCTCAAAGTTAAACAGAGAATCACTGAATTTATGTCTTACCAAAGTTGACTTAAGACTGCCAGACTCTACATCCCACACCCTAATTGTGTGGTCCCAAGATGCACTGCAGATTTCTTCAGCATCTGACCATAGAACCGAAGAAATTGCTTCCTTGTGGCCAGAGAGGGTCACTATGGGAGTCTAGAAATGAAAGATACCCAAAAGGAAAAGCGAAAAGCATTTTCAGTTTAGAATAACTGAAACAGTAACAGTAGTTATTTACTTCTGAAGCCCATATGCCAGATGCTTTAGCTTTCATATCCTGCCTTATTTTTTCTTTACAACAATCCTCCAAAACAGATATGTATTTTTATTTTATAGATGAAGACAATGAAGCTGAGAAAGAGAACTTGCTCAAGGTCATACAGCTTACACATGTCAGATTTAAGTTTGAAAACAAATATTACTCCAAAGTTTGTAGTCTTTCCTCTATAGCCTGCTGTTTTCCCATTTGTTCTACTTTTTATTTTGAAAAGTATTAATATTAACCCTAACCTGGGGCGCCTGGGTGGCTCAGTCATTAGACGTCTGCCTTTGGCTCAGGTCATGATCCCAGAGTCCTGAGATCGAGCCCCGCGTCGGGCTCCCCGCTCAGCGGGAAGCCTGCTTCTCCCTCTCCCACTCCCCCTGCTTGTGTTCCCTCTCTCGCTGTGTCTGTCAAATAAATAAATAAAAATCTTAAAAAAAAAAAATATTAACCCTAACTTAACTCTCTCATACGTACATGTTATATGTAGAAGTTAGCTGAAAAAGTGCTGGGGTCAGGGAGATCTAGGTTTGAGTCAAGGTGCTGCCTTGTAGACATTAATCTACTTTTATTAACTTTGTTAATTTTAACCTCCTTAAATATTATCACCTCATCTGTAACGTGAGGGGCTTATATCAGATCATAGATCAGCAAAGGTTCTCATAAAGGTCCAGAAAGTATTTTAGCCTCTCTAGTCTCTGTTGTTCATTGTTTTTTAAACTCCTTAAAAAGGGCGCCTGGGTGGCTCAGTTGGTTAAGCGACTGCCTTCGGCTCAGGTCATGATCCTGGAGTCCTGGGATCAAGTCCCACATCAGGCTCCCTGCTCGGCTGGGGGTCTGCTTCTCCCTCTGACCCTCTTCCCTCTCGTGCTGTCTCTCATTCTCTCTCTCAAATAAATAAATAAAATCTTTAAAAAAATAAAAATAAAAAAATAAACCCCTTAAAAATCATGCTCTCTGTAGTACAAAAATACTTACCCTTGTTAGTCCCAACTGCTCTGTTTTCTGTTTCTTTCTTGGTCGATTTGTGGATTCCTCCATTTCATCTTCTTCATCTGTAGGAACTGTATCACAAAAAATTAGATTTGATATGTTAAAAATTTATGATAAATATTAATTGCAAACGATTATTTATTTATTTAAAGTAATCCCTACACTCAACATGGGGCTTGCACTCATGACCCCAAGATCAGGAGTTAGATGCACTACCAAGCCAGCCAGGCGCCCCCTGATTGCAAATAGTCTTAAAAGAATTCTTATTTTTCTGGGTGTATGTTTTCTCCATGTTATCTCAACTGGTTAGGGAATGGATATTCTTCCTTATTCTGGTTAACAGAAATTTATATATAAAAACTATACCTGGGTTAGCAATCTTCCAAAAGGAGAAAGCAAAAACCAGAGTACACTAAAATCCTAAAGTCTAACCAGTTTGATATTTTGCTATATCTTTAAGAGCATCATTATGAATATTCATCACCTTACCATATCTATGAAAAACTGCTTACTCTTAGTTGTTGGAGAGTTCGCCCACATTGCATTTGTATTATAAAGGAATGACAAGGTTAAACAAACACATTAAAAGAAGATACAATCCAGTCATGTTTATTTTTCTTGACTATTTCACTTCTCTGACAATGAATTAAAAGTATTTCACACAATAAAATATTCCACAAAAGGAAAATTATCCAAATAAACCAGAAACTTTCTGCCTCAAAACTGTTTGCTTTAAGGGGCGCCTGCATGGCTCCGTCGGTTAAGTGTCCAACTCCTGATTTCGGCTCAGGTCATGATCTCAGGGTCATGAGGTCAAGCCCCGAGCTTCAGGCTCCACACGTGGCAGGAAGTCTGCCTGAGATTCTTTCTCTCTCCCCCTCTGCCTTGCACTCTCTCTCTCTAAAATAAACCTTAAAAAACAAAACAAAACAAAACTATTTGCTTTAAGCATTACTGGGAAATCTACTGGATTGACTTCTATATTTCTCGCCATCTGACACTGCTCAGGCTTTTCTTGATCTCCCAACTCTACTTTGTGAACTGTATTTAGGGTATTATACTATAATACAGCAATTCCCTCAAGTAACAGGGATTCTGTTCTGTTTACCTGTTTAAATAATTCTAGACTACCAGTTCTTTTTAATTTAAATATCTGTGGGTCTTCCCCGTCTTTTCTCCTATTATCAAGGCACCTTCCTCTAAGAGTCCTCCCTCCTCCAACTCTTTCTCTTCTAATTGTTCCTTCTATGTTTTCAAAGTAAAAAAATTAAGTTTGGTAAAACTGCATTAAAAAATTTTTTTAAGTAGATCAACTTAACTAAGAAATTTCTCTAACAGTGGAGTATATCAAAATGACTCAGAAAGTATTTTTATTTCCAGGTTCCGGAATAAGAGAACTCCGAGAACTAAGGCAGTTATGTCCTATTACATCAATCATGTTATTGGTTACTTGCAGCAATTCAGTGACATGGTTCAATAAATAAGAGGGTGGTAGATAGAAACACATTTTTAAACACAAAGAAGTATATTAATTTTTCTCTATATGCTCCTTTGTTTGTATCCTCAAAAGCTCTGGTTCATTTTTATGGAAAAATGTGTGTTAAATAGTCTTTCACTGAATTTCTTGAAACACCACTAGTAAGTCAAAGTACAACAAATATTTAATTTACCTGTAGACCAGATCTTTAGCATCTTATCCCAGGAGCCACTGCAAAACTAAAAAGATATACATAAAGAGAAAAAGAGTATGTAATATAACCTACCATGTTATTTGCCTTGTTTTTTCTATTGTAACTTTTAAAACCTTTACTTTGTTCTGAAATCCTTTACTACCATGGTATCTACATGGCTTCCTAGTTTCCTAGAAGTTTTATCCTCAATCTCAAGGCAACTGAAGGAGCTTCCATTCTTATATGGCCCTGTGCCCTGGCTATGGTTGCTTAGATCGAGGTGGACAACTGGTCTACACTGTGCACACAGGTCCCTTCCTCCTTCAGGACGTTTTTTTGAAAACTTGTGTTCCACAGAGTTGAAGTTAGTCTTTTTCAGGGACTGATGGTATAGGATGTAAAACCTAGGAATACTGAAAGCCAGACTGCTTTTTTTATTGCCATGTGGAAAAAGCCAGTTTGAGGTAAAAGAGAATAAAGTCAATTTAGGGAGATGAGTGGCGGAGGGGGGGTGTTGGCCACATTCAAGCTCAATTCCTTTGGTTCCTGAGACCCAAATGCTGGTGATGTGATTGTTCACTCCTTCCTGGATCTCACAATCTTTTAAGCTGAAAAAAGTTCAAGATGAGTTTCTGTCTCTTACGGCCAAAGGATAGGGTATGATTAATTCATTTAAGTTTTGACTTGACAATAGGAAAACCTTATTTATGGCTCAATATGAATAATTATAAATCTTTACCTCTGAATGCATGAAATATCCTCTGTTATGCTAACTGGCAAGGAAATGCTGAAGAAACACTCTTAAATCCAGAATTTTCAATGTGCTTTTAGGGAACTTTCAAATGGCAAGAGAATTTGTAATCCCTCATAAGTCAACAAAGTGTTGTACTCAGGTTTGTTTCTTTTTAACTAATGTGGACCATTCTGTCATGATAGAGTAAATCAGCAATACTCGTAAAACAACCTCTATTAACACTAACCTTAGTGTATGCTAAGGCTTAGATGATCAACTAGACATTTTCAATTGATGACAGCACTGAGAAGCTCGAAGATTGAAAATGTCAATCACTATGATTAAAGAATGTTACACTGCTTGTTTACCTGATTTCGTAAAATTTCTGCAGTTTAATATAAAGTCTAAACCAGAGAAACCCAGACTGAGGAGGTGAATCTTTCTCTTATTTTAAGACTATTTACTTTGGGTTCAAAATCATATTCTTTAATTATCAACTGTTACGAAAGTAGGACAATCACAATGAATACATGAAGAAAAAGTTGTTTGCATAAGAAGCTCAAACTCTAGTTCAACAGTACTAGTACTAGTACAACTAGTACAACACACCAGCTACTTACTTTAGTTCCCGTGCTATCAACAGCTATAGAATCCACACTTCCAGCATGGCCTCTGCAGCAGTGCAGGGCTTTCACTTTGTTTCTCTCCACGTTCCACTCCCATAAGAGAATCGTCTGATCCATAGAAGCACTCAGTAGTAGGCAAGACAAACTATCTGAAGAAAGGAGAACAGAAGAATAAGAACAAATTAGTATAAAAATTTAAAATACATTGTGTTCTGAAACTGAAGAACTGAATTTTTTGTTGTTGAGAAAGACATTAGCCAGCTTTGAAAAAGAAGTAACTTATGGTATAAAAGGATGATTCTTCAAAAATACTATAAAATAGGAGTTTGACCCAGTATTAACTTGAAAGCATATTTTATCTGTTATAACTTAGTAAGGATTTAACTCTACCACTTACAGATTTTCTTACTTAGTCTTTTTCTTCTTGAACACTATATGTTTGAAAGACCTCACAAAAACTGAGGTATGAGGCCCTTCCTACACTGTCCCCATTCTGCCCCAGCAGTGAAAATGGGTTATTTCCAATTGCCTATGCAGGATTCCTTTCAGTTTAGGCAAAGAGTCCTAACCTTTTTTCACCCAGGCCACATCTTTTACAACGTCTGTATGTCCCACAATTGTCATTATTGACTTTCCTTCCAAGGACCAGATCCGAGAAGTCTTATCATAAGAACCAGTCAAGATCCTATGAAGAGAAAAAAAAACTGTATGAAATAGAAAAAGCAGCTTTTTCAAAACCTGAAATCAATTATATTTCTAAAGCAATGACAAAGTAAACCTTCAGGATTATACTTAAAAAAATTTTTTTAACATGAAGACTAAGATTTCAAAACACACTAGAATAGATCAGAAGAGGTTATATTTGACTTTTCCTGACCTCCTAAAAATGAAAATGTAACTGAAAAACCCTAGATTTCATTTTTACTACTGTTGTAAACATTACAACTCTCAGGGAATTTGCTTGTAAGGCTTAACAGTCCTTTGTACTGAACTAGTTAAAACCTTTTAATAGAAAAACAGTAAAATCATCTAAAGTAAAAGTAAAACCAGTAAAAACATCACTTGGGTAACAACTCCATGAAGATATTCTTTGAAAGAAGTAAGCCTGTACTATGATCCACTCTCAAAGGGCTTTTCTACAAGTAAGCCCAGTGAGGGTTTGCTCTGGGCCATCCATACCTGCTCGAATCTAGTCTGCCCTTTTTAGTCCTAAAATAGCATGATCTGCATCTTCATGGTAGTAGGCTAGGAGATCTGTGGCTATAAAAAGGTTTTTTTCCCCTCTATGAAACAAATTTATCTTTGGTCTTATAAGCAACACACAAATGCCCTAAGACACTTGTCTTATCCAACAGACAAATGCCACTACAACATCTTGAGACAGAAAAGAAAACCTATTAATAGATAGGTTTCTTAAATAAACTAAAGAGAAAGATCTTTGGTATGGTCACCGATACATACAAAATTACTTTTACAAAGAACAGAGTCAATCAGAAAAATATTCACATAGTACACTTAAAAAAGACTAATAAAATGGATAGAAGAACATTCATATGGCAATACCATTCCTCTGCCCCTCGAACAGAACTGATCCAGTCATCGTGGAACATGCATTGCTCTGGCTGAGGGGCAGTGTACTTCTCCACATATTCCAATTCCACAACCTCTTCCTAGTCAAAGAGAAAAACCAGAAATCAATCAGGCGGGACAGTTGTAAAACAGTACACTATGAAAATAAAGGACTCCCAGTTTAATAGGTCTCCTTCATGTCAGTCCCCTCCATAACTCAGAAAATGTGGAGCCATGCAAAAGGTGAAAAACTTTATCTGACCTAAAAGTAGTATTAAGAAACACTAATGACCTTGGAAAATTTATGCCAAAAGTGGGGGAGAGGGGAGAAAAGAAAAGAAACTTTAAAAAATAAAATCATAAAAGCATTCTGTTTAATGAGGATGATGAAAAAGTTCTGGATATGGGGCGCCTGAGTGGCTCAGTTGGTTAAGTGACTGCCTTCGGCTCAGGTCATGATCCTGGAGTCCCGGGATCGAGTCCCGCATCGGGCTCCCTGCTCGGCAGGGAGTCTGCTTCTCCCTCTGACCCTCCTCCCTCTCATGCTCTCTGTCTCATTCTCTCTGTCTCAAATAAATAAATAAAATCTTTAAAAAAAAATAATAATAATAATAAAAAAAGAAAAAAAAAAAGAAAAAGTTCTGGATATGGACAGTAGTGATGCATGCATAATACTGTGAATATACTTATTGCCACTGAATTATACACTTAAAGATGGTTAAAATGATAAATTGCAGTACATTTTATCACAGTTCTAAAACCTGCCTAAAAGTATAAAAGCAATTATAAATTTTATTTTAAATTATAAAAGCAATATTAAAGAAATTAAATATTAGAGGAAAGGGGAACCACTATAAATCACTATAACCTAACCCATAAGTTTTTTATGTGCATAATCCTTTTGTACACCTTTATTAGTAAACATATATTTGTTATTCCCTTTCTTGACAATTCTTCCACAAATACGAAAATTCCTTCCCATATCCGTTCATCTGCATTTCTTAATACACCTTCAGAAGAGGGGATTTCAAAATTTAATACACAAAAACTGAAGTTCAAATTTCTAGAAAAAAAAACAATAATCAAAAAAATCTTGGTTGCTAAAGATTCAGGTGATTCTAAAAGTTTTCCACATTATCTGAGAACACCGGACATAAAACAGAACAGGTAAACATTTGAACTTACTGATGAGATGTTTTCCAGTTCCATGTGTTTGAGCAAGGGCATTCGCAGAAACTGGCCCTTGATAAGGAAATCGAACTCCACGTGTTTGTGGAACTCTAAAGAAAATGCATAATAAAATGATCACAACAGCAAAGGTATATGAGAAACCCCAAACCTATTTTCCCTATTATCCCCAGTGTGGCCTCTGAGTTTCTCCGGAATTTCTTCGTGGTATGATCAGGCCATGTATTCCAATACACTATGTGATTTTTAAGAACAGAGTACTTTCTTCTGTTGGTATAATTTTTTATTGGTGGTACTGGTATTTAAACAAACTTTTTATTCAATGGATAATTCCAAATATATATAAAAGTAGAAATAACATTATGAATCCCCATCTCCATCACATATTATGACAATTACCAACTTATGGGCAATCATCTATACACCTCATTCCACGCCTCTGCTGGTTTATTTTAAATCAAACCCTAGAAATGCTATCATTTTATCTGTAAATGCTTTAGTAAGTATTTCTAAAATATAAAGACTTAAAAAAATAGTGGCAATGATAAAAAATTTAATCATTATTCCTTTTAATATCGAATAGCCAATGTTCATATTTCCTTGTTTTATAAATGTCTTTTCACAGTGAGTTTTTTAGAATTAGCATCCAAAGTCCACACATATTTGATTAATATGTCTTATTTAATCTTTAACAGTTCCCACTCCTCCTTTTTCTCCCTTGCCATTTATTTGTAAAAGACACTAGGTCATCTGTCTTCTAAATATTTCTTACATTCTGGATTTGATTACATCTCCAAGGCGTCCCTTAACATGTTTCCTCTACCACCTACATGTCCTGTACACTAGGCAGACCTAAACACTTGATTAGAGTTCAGGTTAGCTTTTTTTTTTTTTTGGTAAGAATATTTACACACAGTATTATGTGTTTCCTATTGCATCACATCAGGAAGTGCATTATCTTGTTGTATCTCTTTCTGTGATGTGAAAATCTGTATCTGGGCTCTGATGATGTCAGTCTTATCCCATCCATCATAATATTCTGTCAGCCTTTTAACTAATTAATAGTTTTATCAGCTATTGATAATTACTACTTAACCCCATTATTTCACTTGGAGTTACAAAATGCTAAAAATTCTTCATTCTTTCTGCATTTATTAGCTAGGATATTTCTGAAAGAACTCTCATTGGGTTATTTGGATTGTTAATTTTTAAAAATCTGAATCATTTGTATCTTTAACTCAAGAGCAATGACTTTATTATTTAATTTATAAAAAAGAAACCATTGTTCATTCTACAAATTTAGAAAAATATGCAACTGTTTGGGCAACAACAAACATCCATATACTGGTAATGCAAAACATCTATTTCAAGAATAATTTTTTTTTTTTTAAGAGCGAAAGAGTGCGAGTGGGGGGGAGTGGCAGAGGGAGAGAGAGAATCCCAAGCAGGTTCCACACCCAGCAAAAAGCCCAACGCGGGGCTCAGTCTCACGACCCCTGAGATCATGACCCTAGCTGAAATCAAGAATTGGAGGTTTAATGGACTGAGCCACCAGGGTGCTCCTATTATGTATTTGAATAATTCTTATTCTAGTTCAGAGACTTTTTTTTTTCTTTTTTTAAAGATTTTATTTATTTATTTGTCAGAGAGAGAGAGAGAGCCCAAGCAGGGGGAGCGGTAGGCAGACCAGGCAGAATAGGCAGAGGGAGAAGCAGGCTCCCCGCAGAGCACAGAGCCCAATGTGGGACTTGATCCCAGGACCCTGGGATCATGACCTGAGCCAAAGGAGTCGCTTAACCAACTGAGCCACCCAGGGGTCCCTCCCAGAGACTTTTTCAATAAGAAGAATATGTGATAGTCTGGTAATTTAGAAGTAACTATGTATCAAAATCTCTATACATCAACAGATGAAGTAAAGATAAGGACCTATGAGAAATGCTTTGTGAATATCTCTGAATGAAGAACAATAGCTTGTTAGTAATGAAAAAATTGCAGACCCTGCCACCCACCCCACCAAAAAAAAAAAAAAAATTGCTCAAAAACATCTCAGGGGCGCCTAGCTGGTTCAGTTGGAAAACCATGAGACTCTTGTTCTTGGGGTCATGAATTCAAGTCCCACAATGGGTGTACAGATTCCTAAAAAAAAAAAAAATCATCTCAAACTTAACAAAAAAATTATGCAGTTACTTGAAGATGAAAAGGGGAAAATATTAGGCATTAGTTTATAACTCTCACCTCTCCATTCCTCCAACTAGGGTAGAATCAAAAGAACTCTGAAGCATCAGAAACATGTTTAAAAATATGCTTGCTTTGGGGTACCTGGGTGGCTCAGTAGGTTAAGTGTCTGCCTTCGGCTCAGGACAATCCTGGAGTTCCCAGGATCGAGCCCCGCATCAGGCTCCCCCTTCATCGGGGGGTCTGCTTCTCCCTCTCCCTCCCTCTCTCTCCCTCAAATAAATAAAATCTTTTAAAAAATAAAATAAAATAAAAACAAAACTTGTCAATGACCTCACCATTTGGAAGCAAGCATAATTTATTTTTTTAAATTTATTTTATCTTTTTAAAAGATTTACTTATTTGACAGAGAGAGATTGAGAGAGAGGGAGAGAGAGAGCATGCACAAGCAGGGGGAGTGGGAGAGGGAGAAGCAGGGTCCCTGCTGAGCAGGGTGCCTGAGGCGGACCTCGATCCTAGGAGCCTGGGATCACGACCCGAGCTGAGGCAGACATTCAACCAACTAAGCCACCCAGGTGCCCCAACAAGTTTTGTTTTTAGAGATTATGCTTTATGTTATTCTCAATGTTTCTGTTTAAATCTTCTATTTTTTGTATGGTTTCATTAATTTTTAAAAAAAGTCTTATTACAGAAAATGTCAAACATAAGCAAAAGTGGAGAATAACATAATAAACCTTCATATACCTCTCACCCAATTTCAACAACTATCAACTCATGGGCAATCTTGTTTCAGTATTTTTGCATACTCTGTTCATATTAATTTTATGGGCTAATAATTTATTTTCATACAACAGCATATGTTTTAATATTTATATCTTTTAAGTGTTTTACTTGATACCCTATATAAACCTTTATCCATTAATTTTTCAATGAATTCTAAATACTTAAAAAAATACCAGTAATAATACTGGCATCTGTTATTACATAAAATAAATACTCAAATAGTGACACTGTCATTTTGCTTTGTAGAAGTGTAGCAAGTAAGACCCAAGCACCTAGATGCCTGTTCTATGCCTACCCATCCCAGCCCTCCCTAGCACAATCACAATGTCATAACTATTACACTAAAATATTATTCCTCAATCTCAACCACCTTACCTCCATATTGCCTTAAAAGCAGATTAAACTGAAATAATTTTTTCTGAAAACTTCTATTTCAAAGCACTTAAAAAAGTATCATACAGCAGGGAAACCCATGTTACAGTTTATAAATTTTACCATTACAAAATGCATACAGTATCATTAAAATAAGGCCAAAAGAGGGGGAAATTAAATACAAATGTGATGTCTTTTAGTGTAGTTAGTGGCACCGCACCCTCTCCTAACTTCTCAAAGCCTTTATACCCACCATTTTTGGCCTCCAGCAATTTATTGATGATGTTACTAAGGTCAGCAATTTCAGAGGCTGCAGGAATTGAGAAGGGAACATCATCTACTGCATATCTGTAAAAAGGAAATGATATGTCAAAGTCAAGTCTACAGATATTTTAACAAATGTGCATTTATTCATTCAACAAGTATTTACTGGGTATTTAATATATGCCAGACATTTTGCTACGTCGGGTCAACAAAAACCAATTAGCACATGATCTCTGTTCTCAGAAAGGGTCAGATAATCAAAATACAATAAAAGTATATAAGAACAATGTCTTTTTTTATTATGTTAATCCCCATACATTACATCATTAGTTTTTGATGTAGTGTTTCATGATTCATTGTTTGCGTATAACCCCCAGTGCTCCATTCCATACGTGCCCTCTTTAATACCCATCACCAGGCTAACCCATCCTCCCACCCCCCTCCCCTCTAGAACCCTCAGTTTGTTTCTCAGAGTCCATAGTCTCTCATGGTTCATCTCCCATCTCCAATTTCCCCACCTTCATTTTTCCCTTCCTGCTATCTTCTTCCTTTTTTTTTTTTTTTTTTAACATGTAATGTATTATTTGTTTCAGAGGTACAGGTCTGTGATTCAACAGTCTTACACAATTCACAGCAATGTCTTAAGTGATGTATAGAATGGGAGAACAAAGAAGCTGTAGATCATTTCAACCAAAGGATAGAAAAACGGGGTGTAAAAGAATGCACAAGAAAGATCATTCTTAAGTTTTATCTGGAAAGTGACTTTGTCAGGTAACGGGGGTAGACAGAAAGGGTGCAGAAAAGCAAGAGCAGCAACCAATAGCTAAGAATTATTAAACTGCCCACTCAGCCTATTCCACAAAGTGTGATTTTGCTCTAGACAGTGACCAAAGGTAAGGTTAAGGAGATGTGCACAGAGTGGTTAATCTACTACGTGAAGTAATTTTTACTTCTTTCCCTAGGCAATGAGGTACCACTGTAGTAGTCCTAATTAAAGAATAATATCACCGGAATTTTGTTTCATTAGATCTTCTTGGCAGCACTGTTGAGACCGGATTAGAGGAACACACCACTAGGGTCAAATTAGAAAACTCTTGTAAGAGAGAATGGGAGAAAATATGTGCAAATCACATTTCTGATAAAGAACTTGTATCTAGAATATATAAAGTACACTTACAACTCAATAATAAAAAGACAACTTAATTTAAAAAATGGGCAAAGAATTAAAAGACATTTCTCCAAAGAAGATATACAAATGGCCAACAGGCACATGAAAAAGATGCTCCACATCATTATTCACCAAGGAAACGTAAATCAAACCACACAAGATCAGCTTGCAGTCACTATAACGACTATAATAAAAAAGAATGAACTGTTGGTAAGGAAGTAGAGAAATTCGAACCCTTATTCATTACTGATGGGAATGTAAAATGGTGCAGTTGCTTTGGGAAAACCTGGCAGTTCTTCAAAAAGTTAAACATGGAACTACCATTTGACCCAGCAACTCCACTTCTAAGTATATACCCAATGAAATGAATTCATATAGAAATGAAAATACATGTCCACACAAAACCTTGTACACAGGGGCGCCTGGGTGGCTCAGATGGTTAAGCAACAGACTCTTGGTTTCAGCTCAGGTCATGATCTCAGGGTCTTTCTGATGACCTTCCCCAATAGGAAGAAGGAAGGGAGACGAAAGAAGGAACAGAAGAATAAGAGGCCATCACAATTCAAACTACAAATGGCAAATTTTAGTCACCACATAGAGTGATATATGGACTGATTCCAGAGAGGATGGCTAGCTAGCTACCTACATACATACATACGCACATACATAGATTTAAACCTGTTGCATTGACCCACAATACACAAATATCTCCAAAAGAGGGAAAATTAGCATTCCTTTATTTTTAAAGATGTATCAGTAAATGAGAGACACACAATCTGAGCCCTTCCTCATACCGAAGATCAGCAGATAAACTGAATAAAAATCATTGTAAATACGCTGTTTGTCAGCAACCAGTAAGGAAAAATGGAAGGCAACAGCGGAGAGATGAAAAGAATAACTAATAAACAACCACAGAAATAGTCTGCCACACATTGGGCTTTACTGTGAATTCGGCAGACCTGATCATATTTAAGAGGAGGTAACACATCTGTGAGCCAAGACAGGACTCTAGCCCAGAAAGCACACTGGATATCTTAACAATGTTTTCCGCAACATTGTATGAAAAAACAATGACAACAAGGAAGTTTGCTTCCCTGAACCACACTTTGACCCCACATTTTCTTTAATAACTAGCCTGAATTAAGGTAACTTGTTGGGGTTAATGCAGAGCATGAAATCAGTCATAATACCTGGCTTGCTAAAATGTAACACAGAGGCCCCTGAAGGCGAGGGAGGTTTTCGGAGAAGGGCGTAGGCCTTTGGAATGCCGAGGCCCGCGTGACCACTCTGCCCTAGGAATGCCCCGGGGAGTTACCTTCCAGAAGCTCTCTTAGCCCAAACAGCCACCCTGTGATCTAAGAGATGTGTGCATTGTCCCTTAGGCTATGTTTAGTAGAACATGCAGATTAGCATATCTTATCTTTCCTGTAAATCCTCTCAGTTTCAGTAAGACCCCTTGTCACACATCATGTGCTTGAGAAACAGTGATAAGAATATCCTGAAGGACCAATAAAAGTGGGACAAGAAGAGCAAAGGGTCTTCGGTTCTGAGCGCTGACCCCCCTGACTTCTCCTCTCTTTCACAGCAAAGTCTGGAGTCACCTTTCATCCGTCGGTACAGGGATTGCTGGCCATTCGCAGCAGTAACTCCATTAAAAAATTAGTAATTATAACGAGAAAGTTTTGTGTGATAGTACAAAATTAGTTACGGAAACAAAATACCCCAATAATTGCTTCATGGGGAAAAAAAAGGACAGTATGCTTCTTTATGAGTCCAGTGAAATTCAAGAAATCTGCTGCTTTTAAATAAAACAACAAAATCACAAAATAATAGTAATGGCTAACTCTACATGCCAAGAAATGATCTCAATTTATTGCTCAACCCTATGATGCAGGTGTGATTATATCTGAATTTACAGATGAGAAAACCAAGAAGCAGAGAATTGCATAATCTATGCAGTCACACATCTAACAAGTGGGAGATCCAGGATTCATATTTGGGCAATCTAGGTCCACAGTCTGCTGTCTGCACCATTATGTGATGCTGTCTTTATGGATACCAAAATCAACTTTTAAGTCATTTAAGAAAGAAATGGAATTCGGGCGCCTGGGTGGCTCAGTTGGTTAAGCGACTGCCTTCGGCTCAGGTCATGATCCTGGAGTCCCAGGATCGAGTCCCGCATCGGGCTCCCTGCTTGGCAGGGAGTCTGCTTCTCCCTCAGACCCTCCCCACTCTCCTGCTCTCTCTCTCTCTCAAATAAATAAATAAATAAAATCTTTAAAAAAAAAAAAAGAAAAAGAAATGGAATTCAAAAAATAAATTTAATAATGAAGACTACTTTAAAAGCAGGACATAGAATTTAAATAAAAATTTGAATTAAAAAAAAATAGCAGCACAGGCAGTGGCTTCCTTTGCTACAGCTTGTGGACAGGATTTGCTATTTCATTCTGGGTATATTCAGAGTAAAATATCTCTAAATCATTCTCTTCAGTTCTAATATTCTTATAACCTTAAAGCTTTGCCACGTTTTAAAAAGTAACTAATACAGGAGCTTCTGGGTGGGTCAGTTGGCTTGATTTCGGCTCAGGTCAGGTCATGATCTCAGGGTCATGAGACTGAGCCCCACGTCAGGTTCCAGGCTTAGCTCTGAGTCTGCTAGGGACTCTCTCCCCTCCTTCTGCCCCTCTCCCCTGCTCACTCTCTGTCTCCCCCCTCTAAAATAAATAAATCTTTAAAACAAGAACAACAATAAAACCTTGTAAAAAGTTCACATCATCACAACTCATAATAGCCAAAAAGTGGAAACAATCCAAATATCCATCAACTTAAAAATTGGAAACAAAATTTGGTATCCCATATATCCATATAATGGAATATTATTTAGCCATAAAAAAGAATGAGTACTGATATGTATTACAATATGGATGAATATTGTAAACATCATCCTAAGTGAAAGAAGCCAGTCACAAAAGACTACATATTATATAATTACATTTATTTTTTTAAGATTTTATTTATTTGAGAGAGAGTGAAAGCTAGAGAGAGAGAAGCAGACTCCCCACTGAACAGGGAGCCCGACGTGGGGCTCCATCCCAGGACTCCAGGACCCTGACCTGAGCCGAAGACCGTTGCTTAACCAACTGAGCCACCCAGGCGCCCCTATATAATTACACTTATACGAAATGTCCATAACAGACAAATCCACAGAGACAGAAAGTAGATTAGTGGTTGTCAAGGGCTGGGGTTGGAAGGATTAGGGGATAATAGCTAAATGGTGGTGGAAAATGTTCTAAAACTATAGTGATGGTTGTACAATTTTGCAAAAACTGGACACTTTATTTCTATTTTATTTTTTTAATTAAAAGATTTTTTTTATTTATTTGACAAAGACACAGAGAGCACAAGCTCAGGGAGCAGGAGAGGGAGAGGGAGAAGGACCCTGGGATCATGACCTGAGCCAAAGGCAGATGCTTAACTGACAGAGCCACTCAGGTACCCCAATATTGCACACTTTAATGTGTGAATTCTGTTGTATGTGAATTATATTTCAAGAAAGTTGTTACTACAAAAAAAAAGTCTAAAGCCTGATTTAAAGCCCTAGCTGTGGGGAATGGAAAAGTTTCAAAAGATGTTAAGGTAGAATCCAGGGGCTCTAAGGTAGAATCCAGGGGCTCATCAAGACATGATACAATAAATCTCTTTTTGCCACAATGAGGGAGGGGGCTTCAGATCTTGTTAAAATGTAGATTTTCAATCAGTAGGTCTGAGGTGGAGTCTGAGATTCTGCTTTTTCTAATAAGCTCCCAAGTGATGCTGATTCTGCTGATCTTCAAACTACACTTTTAGTAGTAAGGCTACAGTTATATTTATATGTATCAAACCTAAAAAAAAAAAAGCAATAATTTAGGTTCTCCAAAAGGTAACAAAACCTAGGTTTTTCTGGGGGCGCCTGGGTGGCTCATTTGGTTGAGTGTTCAACTCTTGGTTTTGGCTCAAGTCCTGATCTCATGGGTGGTGAGATCGAACCCTGTGTTGGGCTCAACACTCAATGGGGAGTCCACTTGGAATTCTCTCTCTCTCTCCCCCCCTGCCCCTCCCCCACTTGCACATAGGTGCTCTAGCTCTCCAAAATAAATAAATCAATCTTACAAAAACCCAAAACACTCCCAAAAAGTTTTTGGCTTTTCCTTTCACTTACTATTTGGTCAGTAAAATGAGGGGGAGAAAGCATAATTCATATACATGTATATGTAATTTATATACATATATGTGAAAAAAACTAGTCACCCCCCCCATTTTACTCACCAGAACATATTATGTATAAGAAGCAAAAACTTAATTTTTAGGTTTTGTTACCTTTTTGAAGAATTTAAACACACACACACACACATATATAATGTTTATCCATTTATCTCAGGGGTTAAAACATAGTGGTCTATTATTTCTTAAAAATTCATGTGAATCAACAATATCTCAATAAAAATTTCAATTAGAAAAAATACAGTGGTCATGTTATTGTACCACATTCCTTGAAAAGTATCTAGACAAAGTATAAATACTCATGTGCACTGATAATACAATTTATGTATCCTGTAAGCAACAAGAGGAGTGAATATGATTTACCCCGTCAACTCATAAAACTACAAAGAATCAAAGACATCATCTTAATTGAGGTGGGAGTTTTCTAGTTTACCACTGACATTAGCTTGTTAATACAACAAATATTCATTATATATTATCAGTACGGAAGAACTTGACAAACATTTGTTGACTCAGTCAATCCAAGAACTGTAATACACGGTCCCCTACCATCAAAAGACTTACACTATACCTGAAGAGACACTAAGAAAAATTAATAGTGTAATATACACCGCAAGACTGAATACAATTAGATTTCAAATGAATGCTACTAACCTAGGGACCATTAGTAAAAATGCTCATATATACATATACACACGCATATATATACACATACATGTGCAAGTATGTATATAAATACACAAACCTGTAACTGAATTGACTTTATCAAAATACTCCTAAATACTCTTTATCAAAAACCAGTTCTACCAACCCCCTATTCAGAGTTCCACTATCTAGCCTGGTTTAGAAAAACATCGTCTGGGCGCCTGGGTGGCTCAGTCGTCAAGCGTCTGCCTTCGGCTCAGGTCATGATCCCAGGGTCCTGGGATCGAGCCCCGCATCCGGCTCCCTGCTCTGCGGGAAGCCCGCTTCTCTCTCTCCCACTCCCCCTGCTTGTGTTCCCTCTCTCGCTGTGTCTCTGTCAAATAAATAAATAAAAATCTTAAAAAAAAAAAAAAAGAAAAACATCGTCTATCACCTACAAAAAGAAAATAAACCTGTGTTTTCTGAAACTGTGAAACACCACTAGCAGGCAGCCTGTAACGACTAGGTCCATTGTTCACTTTTTTAAATTACGTATGTGCTTCATTCAGGAAGCAAACTTGAAGCCCTTCAGATCCCTCTACACTCGCAGTTCAAATTGTACACAGCCTAGGAAGCTAGGCAAATAGGATCTGTGATCTCAGAGGTCGATCCCGGAGAAATCCTGGCAAGGTATAGCTTCCGCTTGAGCGGAAAACTCGCTCAAGCCAGGAGTACGGGGGGGGGGGGGGGGGGGAGAGAGACACTGAGAGCAAAGACAACCGAGGCTCCACAAAGTCATACGGAAGGAGTTCTTGGGAAGGATCCTAGGGAGGCGAGAGGAGAGGAAAGAAAAGGACGCTTACTTACTTCTTGTTGTCAGTGAAGAAGCGTGTCTGGAGCTGAGCCATGGCTAGGAGTACACACAAGGCTTGTCTACAGAAACGTAAGGGGTAATAGTCAGACAACAGGCTCTCTGGTCTCTTAAGACTACAAAAAGAGGCAGCTCAAAATTAACTTGCACAGATAAGCGAGAAGATGCAGTCTTCTGGGCTTCCGCTTTCCTTCCTCCGGCCTCCACAGCAACGAGACAACCACGAGGCTGCTCTTACACAGAGACCCAGCCCACAAACATCAACTACCTATTCCTAGATTTAGGAATCATCGATTAGTGAAGCATAGTTTTAAAGCCGGAGTGTCCCTAATTTTTAAAATTTCTTTTAATATATTTAGGCCTGTGGTCGATTATGAAGATACGGAAAGGCCCAATTCAAACTGTATCTCTTTTTAATTTTAAGAGGTTGTCTTCCGAACCGATACTTCAAACACAGTTCCTAGACACTACCACTCCCAGAAAGCAGCGCTTCTCAGACGCTGTAACCACTGGGAATCGTAGTTTTTTTTGCCATGCTGTCCTCAGGATATCTTATTTGCTCCAGTCAGATATCTATTATATTTCCTCTGCCTTCACCTTTAATTTACTAAAGGCTTTTCGGCTTTATTTTCTTACGCATACTCCCAATCATAACCTCACTCTACCGAGACTTTCGGAGGGCTCCCACCTCTAGCTTCAGGCTTTAGATCCAGGTGAGAGTCAGGGATACGAAAAAAAAAAAAAAGAACGAATCAAAAAGGAAACGGACGACGGTGGCCGATAGTGGTCTAGTCTCACAGTACTGCGCTGCGCGCTCTCAGAAGGATGCGCCTGCGCATTGTGCTGGTCTCCATGGCAGGGCCTCGGAGCCAAGACGAGGTTGAGTAGACTCGTTTTGAATTTTCTCCCCTCTGCTCCGGCACCTTGTGAACTTCCCTCCTCGCCCTGTAGGGCTCTCGGAAGCGGCGGGACTAGGGGAGTTGGGGGTTTGACCGAGTTGTCGGCGCCCACGAACGGGACACTACCTCCCAACCCCCATCTCTTTCCTCCTGCCTCCTCCTCCCGTCACCTCCTGACCAGCCTGCTCCCTGAGCAACCGCTGGTCCCCGCCCCCATCTGCAGTCGGGTCCGGGTGGTGCCTTCCGCGCCCAGCCTCGGGGCCTTTTCGGGGCCCCACACGATGAGGCCCACTACTCCCCTCCCGGGGCCGCGCTGGGGCGGGGGGGGGGGGTGGGGAGGCGCTCGGGAAGGCAGGCTGGAGAAGGTGGAGATTAAGTGTCTGGAGGAGGGTTGCTGAGCCTCAGGACGCGCCACCGCCGTGGAGAAGGACCCGGACCCCCTTGGGCGGGAGCGCCTAGTGTGTGGTCCTTCGCGCAGCCAAGAGCCCCGCTTTTTAGATTTTGTGTTTTTTGTTTTGTTTTGTTTTCTCCTTATGAGCCCATTTATATCTTCTGGTTAGAAGGGGAAAGGCGTCCTCCCCCACATTCTCCTGCAATTTTTGACTTTTTTTTTGGTCTTGAAGTTACCTAAAGGCCTATACCCTAATCTAAATGGTTCGGAGAGTTATTCTAATTGAATTTAGTCATTTCTCTGTGAGAGGATGGATGGAGAGATACTATCTAGATCTCAAAGTCAAATTTTAAGTCGTTCGTCAAAACTGCAAGAGGAGGACTTCAAGAGACAGCAGTTTAGAATCAGGCTAAACTGGATTGCAGAATTTGTGGGCAGAGCGGTATGTGTGCAGGTGAAAACAACTAAAACTTTCCTTTATGTTGTTTAAAGATGCGCTGCAATTAAGTAGGCACCTGGTATTTAAACCATAGCCTATGAGAAAGTATTTAAACAATTGTAAGCGGAAAAATAATCTTTTATTGGAAAGCAATGATAATGAAAGTAGGACAATTTTCAATTCACTCACCTTTCTAGAATGCGGGCTCTTGAACCTGAATGCCTCAACTATTTATTAACCGCTCTGTGCCACACTTGGGTCACTGTGAGAATTAAATGCCACAAGTAAATGTTAAATTTATCACCATCATTATCATTTAGATGTCTGTTGGCTAGAACCTTTGCCAACCTGAACAAATAAGAGAATAGCTTCATGGTTAGAGGAATAAAAAGAAAATCTCTCTGCTGAAGTCCTAGGAAAGAAAGGACTGGGCTTGCAAATAGAACCTGTGGTCATTTAACCATGTGACTCATTGTAATGGTGAGAATTGTATGCCTTAGACCACCTGAAGCTTGAAACACTTTCTTAACTGAAGTCTTGCTATTTAATCCATATTTTCTGAATTTGGTAGACGTGGAAAGAAATTTAACAGTTTTAAACATTTTCCTTTAATCATAAGTGATTTTTTAGTTACAGCAGTAAAATTGACTGAATTAACATTCATAGAGCTGGAAATAATCTTCAAATAATTAGGTTCTTTTTCAGATTATTTTTTTACTATTGATAAAATATTATTGGTTAAAATATCTCTTAAAAATTTATAGTTAGAGGGGTGCCTGGCTGGCTCAGTCAGTGGACCATGCATCTCTTGATCTCTGGGTAAATTCAAGACCAAAATTGGGGGGGTGGGTGGAGATTACTTAAAAATAAAATCTTAAAAATAACAAAAAAGGTATGGTTAGTTTAATAAACTTTAGCGATCATTAATTTGACATTTAAGAAAGTACAATACCTGATAATCACTATAGGTTGATCTTAATGTGAATTGAGAGGTATGACCAGTAAGATACAGAACCTAAATATATACTTAATAAGATAAAACTTCAATTTGCAAAGCAGAGATGTTGAATTCACTAAAGTACATTTTTCATTTGAGACCTTTTTTTAGTTAAGGAAAATTTTAAGTGTTCTAGAGTAACTGAACACCCACTACGATGGCTTTGGTGTTTTTTTAGTAGTGACTTGTGTCATATTTGGTGTTCTCTCCATGCAGTACTTAGGGTAGTACTTTTGAGTGTTTTTCTTAGAACATTAACTTCAAGCTTTTTGTTCTTGATGATTTCGTACGTGATTCATTTACTGTGGTCTTCATGAAGACACATTGTTATCTGGAAAATCACAGCTTGGAAGATACGTGTTTCTATTAAAGGTTTCTTTTTTTCTGCATGTAATGGCATGGTATGGTATGATCTGAAGACTATGCATGGGCTTCAGAGTTCTGTGTTTTGTTTTTTTTTTTTTCCAGCTTAGTTTTGAATCTGAGCTCTAATGCTCTCTCTGATCTTAGGCAAGTTACTTGACAGCTTTGGTTTTCTTATCTACAGAGATAAGATCCAACTCGGTGAATGTGAGGATTAAATGAAATAATCTGTATAGCTCTCAAAGAGCAAAGAGGTAAAATGAGGTATGTATTTACAGGGTAAGAAATGGATAGAAACCAAGATTATAGGGAAGCTTATAGAGAGGGCAAACCTTAGATTAAAGAGACATTGTGAACACTAGCCTTAAATTTTTTTCAGTGAAAAGTTAAAATAAGTTATTATTTATATATATTTGCATACATTTAAAATTTTGATGTTGACTTAACACATTATAACTTTCCAAACCCATCATTAAAAAAAATAAATTGTTGGGCGCCTGGGTGGCTCAGTTGGTTGGGCAACTGCCTTCAGCTCAGGTCATGATCCTGGAGTCCCGGGATCGAGTCCCGCATCGGGCTCCCTGCTCAGCGGGGAGTCTGCTTCTCCCTCTCCCGCTCCCCCCTCTCGTGCTCACTCTCTCTCTCTCTCAAATAAATAAATAAAATCTTAAAAAAATAAAAAAATAAAATAAATAAATTGTTCTTTTTTTTTTTAAAGATTTTATTTATTTATTTGACAGAGAGAGACACAGCGAGAGAGGGAACACAAGCAGGGGGAGTGGGAGAGGGAGAAGCAGGCCCCCCACTGAGCAGGGAGCCTGATGTGGGGCTCGATCCCAGGACCCCGGGACCATGACCTGAGCCGAAGGCAGACCCTTAACGACTGAGCCACCCAGGCGCCCCAAAAATAAATTGTTCTATCGAATACTTGTGAACTAGGAGTCTTGATTTAATTTTTGACACCACTGATTGATAATAATTTTGTATACATCATAAAAGGAATATTGTGTCATTTACCTACCCTAAAAGATGAGAGAAATTTTTTTTTCTAAAGTACTTTTGAGCAACATTTTTTTAATGTTAATAAGTTAAAATATCTGGCCCTGATATTTAATATATTTCAAGATCCTTTAAATCTTAGGACACTAACAAGGGACCTAGAATTAGGAGAATCTCTAAGACTAAACTAAAAGTGGCTTCATCATTCAGTTACCCTGTTTGGGGATTTATTCTCAGGTAATTGGTTTTAACAGATACATTTTACCACACAAAAGTCTGTAGAGGAAACTCAACAGAATAATCAGATGTTAAGAGAATTACCTGTAAAGTTTTGAACAAATAAAATTTGCTATTGAACAAAAGCAAAACAGCAGTAGCCCAAATATGGTTCACAGAGATATGAGTGAATACAGCCTGAATAGTCAGTCTTTTCCTTTCTGCCATGCATTAAATATGTATAAACAATAAAAAGCCCTTTTTCCCTATAAAACATGAAACTTCTATTTTAACAGTTTCTTCCTAATCTTTGCTTTTGATATAAGGTAAAATCCACTTTTTTAAGTGATGTGAAATATTCTAGAAAGCAATTTGACAGCAAAATGTAATGCTTTAGTGTGTGTTGTGAACTCCAATCATTAGCTGTCTATACATGTAATACGTTCTTCTTTCTGTTTTATGTAATTCCAATATGATTTGCTTAAAAACTAACCTTGTCAAACCAGTTCCAGGATTTTTTACAGGGTGTACAGGTTTAGGGAGGGCAGTCTTTGTTCTCAAGCTTCTATGGTTCCAAAAAAAAATGCCCTGTTAGTAAATATTTCATGAGAGATGCAATTTACTGGGGAGGTCTTTGTTTCAGTAGTAGTAAAAGAATGTGAGTTGCAACAAAACCATAGTCCAAACACCTAATTTTAGATAAGGAGACTGACACAGAGAGATTAAGTCACCTACTCCTGGACACATGCAGTTATCTATAAAGTCAGTCCTAATCTTTAGTTTTCTTCAACTGAGTTATTTGATGGATCTACTGTACTGGGATGGTAATGGCTATTTTATAATAAAACCTGGATAACAAAATCTAGTAGTTTTCTTTATGTGTAGGAAAAGAAAATATACATTGAATACCTTCTCATTACAGAAAAAATGCTGCTGTGAAGACATAATTATAGCTCTCACGCAAATGAAGCCACAACTATCATGATTTAGTGCCCCCCAAAGGAAGAACTTAAGTGGACAAGAGAGGGCATTTCTGGGAATGGTAGAATGCTTGAGGCCTGAATTGAAATTTGAGCTACTACCTGAAGGTAATACTTTTATTTTTAACTAATTGAAAGTAACAGCTCTATAAAAGTTAATTATTACCTATTATATATTAATGAAAAATCAAATTACACTTTGTATATAGGTACTTTGTTCTGTTTATGTTTACCAGTTGGAAGAAAATACCTAGATACTTAATATCTTCATTCTTAAAA